GGCGGCCCGCGCCGCGGCCGAACTCAAGAGCTCCCCGAGATGCCCGGCCCCAGCTCGGCCCCACCTCCTCCGCCGCCCTCGCGCAGGCCACGCATGGCCGAACGGGGCAGGGACAGGCCGGGACAAGCCTCGCCCACTTGGTCTCAGACGGAGCTTTGCCACGCAGCTCCGCCGCGCCCCCCCGCTGCCGAACAGAGGCCACGTTGCCCTGGCGCCGCGGCCCCCACGCCTGGGTGGTGCCGTTCTTCCAATCCTCGCTGCGCATGCAGTAGTCAAGGTCGGCTCTGATTACCTCGCGCTCGTCGAGGAGCTCGGCCATCGGCGGGCGGCCCCGCGCGAGACTCGGGGTTCTCGATCGCGAGATCGACGCCATCCCACGGGCGGAAGAGCGCCGCCTGGGCCGCCGCCAAGCATGGAGCCGAGCCCACCTGTGTCTTCTGCTACTCGACCTCTGACAATCCTGGGCCCCCCCAGGGGTGCTCCGCCGACCGCAGACGCGGCCCCCGAGCCCATGGGGAAGTACAGAGGGAGGCCGCCGAGAGAACCCGCCACCTTCAGCGCCGCCGCAGTCGCCGGCATAACCTCGCGAGGTTCACCGCGCTAAACGGGTCGAACTCGACGCCCCGCCCCGCGCCCCAGGCCTCGCCCCGTGGCAGACTGCAGGCCGGCGCCGACTCGAGGAGCCACCCGCTGCCCGCGATCAGCTCCAGGAAGCCTGGCCCCCTCACCTCGGGAGAAGTCGCCTCGTCCTCCCCCCCCCCCCCCGCGGCCGCATCCTGCTGGATCTCGGCGCGCGCCGACTCCGCCTGCGCGGCCCGCGACTGAGCGGCCGCGCGGCCAATCCCCACCCCGATCTCCTCGAGGGCGGCTTTCGCTGCCCTCGCGGCGAATCCCCCCTCCGATGCGTCCGCCACGCGGGCCTTCTCAAGCCGGGCCCCGCCCCGAGACGCCAGTGCATTGAGGCTGATGTCCGAAGCTCGCTCTTCGTCTGCGCGTCGAGGATCTGCCGCCCAATCGCCCCCGCGCCCTCAAATTTGTCGGCCCAGCGGCAGGTCGCGCCCAGCGTGGGAAACGCCGCGCCTTTGGCCCTGATGGCCCACGCCCACGCGCCCAGCAAACTGCTGGGAGCGCCCAGGAGCACCCTTCTAAACGTCGCCGCGGGCACGGTGGCCAGTGCCAGATCCGTCACCTTGTCCCGGGCGACTCGCTAGCGGCGCGGTCTCGATCCGATGCTCAAACCCAACCCAGGCGCCATGCCCTCGCCCCAGTCCTCCTCGTGCACCAGCGAACCTTTCGCCTCCAAGTGCGCCCTGGCCTGGCCCTGCTAGATCGCGGGATCGCCGCAATCGTCCGCGCGCAGCTTCAGCCCGATGTTGTCGTCGATGTGCAAACATCAAATGCGCGGCCTCGAGCGACGGGGCATGGCGGCCGCGCGCGACCTGGGCATGGCCGATGCCCTGCATTTCCTCCAGCGCGTCGGCCGAGCAAACGCGCGCTAGGAAGACCGAGCAGCTGGGTCACATCACGGGGGGCGCCGCTCCAATCCCAATATCGTCGTCGCACGGCTTCGACATCGAGATCCTGATCTGCAGGGCGTAGTCCTAGACCTGGCAAGGCGCCACTTCGGCCAGCGTTAAAAAATCCGCCAAGGAGGGCGCCAATCGTAAGCGGCAGACCAAACTGCGACGCACCCCTCGAATGAGAAGAGCCGTCGGCCATGTAGGATTGACTGCTCCAGCTCCAACGGGGCCAAGGTTGCGCGACCGCCCAAGGGCGCCCACGGAGCGCCCTTGAAGAGAAGGCTCACCCTCCCGCTTCCCCAAACCAGTCGGCCGTTCTCCATCTCCACGGGGGCGGTGCCCTGATGGATATACTCCGACGCGCCCCCTAGCCCCTGGCCGTCTTGAAGTGCCCGATCATGCCCGACTGGATCATTCGCTGCGTGAGCTCGAGCCAGTTCTCTCGTCGTCGCCGTCCTGGGTCCGCGTAGCATGTTGGTGTTCTGGTAGCGCCCCCAGCCGACTTGACCAACCTCGCGGATCATCTCGTCCGCGTCATCCTGAAGGCAGGCGCCTGCGCCCCGCGGCCGATCTGGAACTCCCATCGCATTGCGAGGTGGCGCCGAGACGCGCACCGCCGCCGGCGGGCGCATATCGCCCTTTGATAATGCATTGCTCGACGCGCTCGTCGCCCTCCTCGCCCTCGAGCCCGGGCAGCCCGAGACCCCATCGCCCCACAGGTGGCCGAGGGCCGCCCCGCCGTCGTCGACGGCCCCCCGACACTCCGACTCGGCGTGCCAGCCCCGCGAATCGCTGGCGACGGTGACCTGCAATTGGGCCGTCGCCGCCCATTCTCGCCAATCCCCCTTTCCTCAGTAGAAGCTTCTCCTGTCGCAGATGGCCCGCCACCGGCCCGCGGGGGGGCGCCCCCGCCCCCGGCCCCCGCGGGCGTCAACCAAAGCGCCCCGTCGCTCGGGCCCCGGGAAGACGGCCGGGCATCC